TTCATAGAGGCATTGTTCAGGCTTAATCATGTAAGGTTACTTTGTAATCAGGGGGATGAGGAGTTGATTCTGGTGATTTTTTTTTCCTCACTCAGCAAAGGCAACAGTAAAGGTTACATGGACTATTGCATGTGATGCAGTTTAAAAGCTGACAGAATTTATGCTGTGATCACACTCAGTGTGTCCTTACTGTATATTGTACTGTATATGCAGTGAACTGTAAAATGTTCTGATTGCATTAGTTTCAGTATTCAGTATTAAGTAATCAGTATTCTTGAGTGACCTTGTTTTTTGTACTTTTTCGGTACTACTGTTACTTTTTTTCTAATTCAACAATTATTAAATTTGTGGGAAAATCATGAGTGAACATGGACTTATGATGTAATTATCAATATTAGCATCCAAGACAAGCACCCACATGCTTGTATATCCACAGTGATTGTGGTAACTGGGATACTGCTGCTGCCAAAATATTCATGAGGTCATTCGCTTGTTATTATAGACTCCAAAGTGAATTATCATTTTAGCGTGAGATAAAACTTACAGTGACCAGATAAGCATGCTGACCCCAGAAATATGCTATGCCATTTCATTATCAATAGAATGTGGTTAAATAAAATTTAATTTTAATTCTACTGTTATACCAATCACACTACATTCTATAATATCAAAACTTTCTGGGCTTCAAAAATATTTGGTGATGCATCCATTTAAGTCTCAGTAAAAGGGTAATAGGTCAGAGTGTGTCAGTCATTACATTTAAATCAAGTTAATGAATGGTTATAGGGTAAGTAATTACCCTGGAAACAGTAGTTAATAATCATAACACACAATCTATTTACTGGCTTTTTCTGAAGCTCTCACCGACATCCCATAGTGTTTATCAACAGATGAATGGATGATGACCGTGAGATGCAGTTAAAAGCTTCAGATAAAGTTTGTAGTGTAAAGGGACTTTGTTTTAGAATGTTTTAGAAAATGAATCATTAGTAATTTTAATCATTGAATAATCGCTTAATTCCAAATATCTGCCTGCTCAAGCTTCTCCAACTACTAAAGACAAGCACACATCGTGGGCCCTGAGAATTTAGTATGGAGTTAACAATCTATCAGAAATTTACTACAGAATAAAATATGACACATTAATTGTGATCCTACTGGAATTACTTATTTCATACCTAACAATGTCACCTTCCTTTTACCAAAAAAATTAATAATTAATCCCACTAATCTGATCACTGCCTGCAACATGCATCTAAATTTACATAAATGATTTGGCTGGACATTTAACTGACTGGCCTTTTATACACATTCACACCTATTTCTCCATCTACATGACATACTTACACTACGACATACGCACAAAGATACACAACTGTGCGCCCTTGCTTGGTTGTCTTTAGAAAAGGCCAGACTCCTCACAAATTATGGAAGAGGTGACTCAGTGAGTGTGATGAGTCTACTCAAACAGGACTAAGGCACTGAAAAATACATACTCTCTCTCACACATATACACACACACACACACACACACACACACAAAATACAAGTAAGGATGTCCCGCAGGCTGCCATTTCTGGCTGTCATTCCAGCTGAGCACTGAGGCAGAAGGACAGAGAGAGAGACAGGCGGGTGGAGAAGAAAGGGTGGAGAAGGGTGGGGGTGGTGACACAATGAAGGCTCACAGGGAGACAGGAAGCAGACGGTGCAAATGAGGCTGAGGTCTTTTAATGAACTACTGCACTGTCAAGGTGAAGAGGAGAGGAGCAGAGCAGGGAGGAGACCTATGCATGCACATGCGCTTGTACAGGTGCACACACAAACACGGAGTCATACAAACCACAGTCATATAATACATCTAACAGTACTTCACCCAAAATTTTAGAAACCTTTCAACGCTGTTAACGTCACATTTTTACTGACTGATCCCACCTAACAAGGTAATGATGTTAAAAATCCAAAACTGCTCTTTCGTCTGGTAAAATAACACAATGAAGACGAAATATAAGCTCTCTCTTGCTCTCTCACTCCCTTTAACACACACACACACACACACACACACACACACACTAAATTGTTGTGGATTTTTGCTTTTGAGCCAGAACACATCTTTCCAAGTGCACAGCTGTTTTTAGTAGCCGAGTATGACAAAGAAAGAGCAGAAAAAACACGGGAAGCCAAAGAAACGCAGATGGTAAGGTGGAGATGGAAAGTGGAATCAGTGACTTTGTAAATGCACTGAAACAGACGAGACAGTATAGGCTCTGGAAAAGTTCATCTGTGTAGTAAGAGTAGAGTAGAGTGAACCAGCTTCCTATGCATGGGGTGCCTGAAAGACTTTCTACACCTGTCGACCAAAAACTGTTTGAAGCAACTTGGGTATAAGGTCAACGAACAAATGCTTATACATATAGAAACGCACAAAGTGTGCCAGAAACTGGGTCAATTAATTATACTGGGGACATTCACAGCAAGCACTAAGACCCCTTGCTGTTCCTGATGCTACATAGCTATTCTCCGTCATTGCCATCATCCTTGTTGCTGTGGTAATGAGGTTTCCCTAATGGCAGCTCAGGGTCAGCCGTGGGTCAGTCAGCAGGGGAGTAAGACCCTCATAGTTAGTTACAACCGTCACTCCTCGAGGCCAGTCATCTTCCCCTGCCCTCATATCATCATACGTCAAGGGATTTTTGGTCAAGCGTTCACACAGATATCTTTTAAGAGTGTTAAATAAAGAAAATAAACACACATTACTATTTTGGCCACAGAGCAGACATTCGCCAATCTAAATACATCCTTAAACAAGGCACAGAATCGTTTCTTCCTCCAATGCTGGTGGTGTATAGTTGACACAATGTCTGACAACCACATGGAGGGATGAAGTAAGAAAGAAAATGTCTCTGTATGGATTAATTGTTAATCCATGATCGATTAATCAGTGTAAGAAATTTGAGCAATCAAGAATATATTAACGAACAAGCGGGGTGTAGTGTGTGTTCAGGTAGAATAACTGCATCATACATAAATGCAATTCCCATTGAGTTGAAACATAAAATTGACCAGCACCTTGAATAACAGCACATAAAACATAATTTAGTTTGAACATCAATATGGGTACTTTCTCCTTACTTGCTAAATTTTTTATTCTCATAACAGACTCAAGAAAGGACACTAGTCATTAAAGTCATTAAGTTTCAAGATTTGTTGAAACATCCAGAATCACTGTAAAATTACATTAAAGGGATTTTTAAGGGCTAAATTAATTAAATATTAACAGGTTGTTTTGATTAGTTCAATGGTCTTACAGTGGAGCTGAAAATTCATTTGTGTGGAGCAATTTGAGGTTAACTCCACCCAGGCATCACATATATCCCATGGTGTGTGTAATACTGATGTGCAAAGTGGGCCCATACCCCTGAGTCTTATATTTCAAAGACATATGTGGGGGACCCCATCTTAGAGGGAAGAGAGGAAGTAGACTTGCATTTGGACTTTGCAGTGCATTTCAAAAGCACTTTTAATTGATTGCACTTATAAACTTATAAACACAAAGAAATGTATGAAGAGGACAGACGATGGAAACAGACAGTGGCGAGGCAGAAGGGAGAAAACAGGGAAGGAGAGTGCAGACAGAAATATGGAGAATGAGACAGAAGATGGAGAAAGGAGGAGAGCAGAATAAAAGCATTTTAATACAGAAACACACAGATTCAGCTCTAATATCTATGGTTCTGAGCCTACATCAGCCACAGTCCAAAGAAACCGAAGTGAGACATAGGACCAGACGCCGGCAGAGCGATATCATCTGGCTAACAACAACCATATTTCTGTGGCTAATGTCAAAATAACACCTCTCTGCTCTTCCAAAGTTCATGCACTTGCAAATGCCTTTATTCCACAAACCCTACTAAGGCAAAGGCAGACCATTTATACATGTGTTACGTGCTGCAAAAATATAGTTAATCATATCAGGTGATAAAGGACATTCAGCCCGGACCACATCAAAAAGAAGTCCAACATTCTTACGTGTTGTGAAAAGCATGAATGCCAATAACTGCAGCAAAAGAATGAACAAGAGAGACATTATATCAAGATGTGAAATTTTGCTGCTCTGGAGGTGCTCAGAACTGCTCAAAAGAAAAAATGTCTTTCATGAAAATAATCAAGTGGACGTTAACTTAATAAACCCTTCTCTTTGACTGTTTCTGTTCTCGCAAATAGACAGAAAATGGAACTTTAGAGAAAAAACATGGGCTATTAAACCAAAAGGTATGACCTCTGAAGTCTGCATGTGTGCATGAACTCAAAGATACTAAGAAACCTCTCTCACACACTCACACACACACACACACACACACACATTCAAGCAAAGCTCAGAATCATTCTAGGCTGTGGTCCCAACGCTAACCTCAAGTCAACAAACACACATGGAACTTAGCAGAGAGAGAAAGAGACGGAGCGGGGAGAGGCCAGTGGTTATTATACTTGGATCAAGGTTCTGTGCCGTTGTATTCTGAAGTGTGGACTGGCCTGTTCACAGACACAACGTGCACCGCAAAACGTCTCTTTAATTGGACCGAAGTGAAACGAAGTCCAGATGGCTTTAATAGACAATATTCGCTTGAGGGACACATTCCAATTTGTCTTTTTCTCCATCTGTGTCCCGCTCTCTAACTCCCACACTTTTTCCTCCTCTGTTCTCTACCCTTTCACATTCCTCACCCCCTTTGTTCACCCACTCTTTCCTTTCCACACACTCAACTTTCTGCATTTTTATACTAAGACATAATTTCTTAGTTATGATCATCATCATCATCATCATCATCATCATCATCATCATCATTCCTGATCTAACTGACACCTACCTTTTGTCCCACTGTCTCCCTAATAATTACATAGCTCTCACCCAATCTTTGATAATGGCAGATACCCTCTTTTCTCAATTCAGGGTCATGGGTAACTGGGCCCTGTTCTAGCATGCACTGGGTGAAAGAGCTTACCAGTAGGACACGTCCAGGGGTTGAAAAAAGCGTCTGGAGATGAGGTCAGCAAAGAAGGACTCAGTCTCACGACACGCTGTCCCGTTGCCGATGACAACCCTGGTGCAGCTAGTATGGACAAGGGTAGGGGAGAAAGAAATGATTAAGAAAGCAACCACAAAGGTTTAAAAATGGCATTAGTTTCACAATTTACTTTCCCTGTTTATAATAGTATGTTTAGTGAACTCAACTGAAAGACCATAGCAGCAGTACCTGTATTTGATCATTAGGTGGCGCAGTTTGTCTGCTTCTTTTTGTTGGCCTGAGATATGCAGGTACACTACATCAGTATGGAGAATCTGACCTGAGAGCAGAGAGATGAAGACAAAGAGATGGAGAGTGAGAGAAAATAAAATACAATGTTGCTGAAAAAGTATTATGATGACAAGAGGGGGCTCAAGAGAGTAAATGATATACTATTAGCTAATGTCTCTCTACTGTATGCTGTCTGTTGAGTAATGTTCTAAATGAATTCAATAATTTATGAACTCCACATCTGCACTTGCTACGCCTCCACAGGAAGTCCAGCCCCTACCAGTTCCCAGTTCGCTCAGAGCAGAGTGCAGATCTGAATGAACAGTTCTGACAGGAAGTCATGTGAGCACACCTGTGACCATCCCCTGCTCAGCCTGACACGCAATATACGTATGCCGGTGTCTGTCTGTTGTAAGTCTGTCAGCGGGACTTGTGGCCACACAATCAGTCACCCAGAGGGTGGGACCTACCCTTGCACAGTGTGACGCCACACCCACTGCGAGACATGCTGAGACCTACAGTACAGTACAGTAGACACACAAAAAATACACATGCACACACATACTCCTCCCACCAGGATCATGCCAACTGGCATCTAGTCTCTGACAGCACATGGACACTCACTTTGGTGCCTGGTTACATGGCATCCTCTCAGACAAAATATTTGGCTTCATTACTGCTTAATCAAATGATCTATGTAACATAATGAAGAGACTCATCAACATTTCTCAACTAGGTCTGAATCATAATGAGATAAGAGAGAGACGGACAGACAGATAAGACAGAGAGGACAATATAGCCCATTAGCCATGAAATGAGTACAGGGGCATTATAGTTTGCATAGCATGTTAGAGTAGATAATCCCTGAATATGTCACAACAAAATACTGTTGGTGAAATACAATAGTTCAGCTCTTAATATCAGAGCAATTAGTGTATGAACAGAAGTTAACGCTAATTTAGAGAACATCTATGACAATATAACAATCCATGTTCCAATGTATCAGTGAGACCCTACAAACCAATACTATTAGTCAAGATGTTCTAAGTATGTATGCAGAAATAGAGCTTTAATTCCAGTTAGTGTAACATATTTGAAGCCTAAGAGCTGTACTTTTTATTACTCCTTTTAGATGAACACAAGCACAGAATAAACCCGTGTTTGTGGTCAACCTCAGTGGGTCAACATGCGTCATCCAAACTCACACAGCAGCCTTTCAGACACAGCTCCGCTATAGCTCAAACTATTCTGGATGAAAAAGTAGTTGAGTGATATAAATGTGCCAGTGGAGTCCAGCACACTATGATTTTACTTACTAGTGGGGGAGAGGATTGCCAGCTTACAGCCATGTCTAAAGCCAGGGTCCACCCCCATGATGACACAGCCCCTGACTGGACAGACTAACAGGCGTTGGCGGAGGTTGCGCACAAACATGGCAATTGATTCCTTCTCTGCTGCAATTGTCAGCTTAGTCCTAAAGAGAGGGAATGCAGGAGAGAGATAAAAAAAATGGGGAAAGAGAGAGATGTGGAAAGGAGTGAATATCAACAAAAAGAGTCAGAGCAGTGGGTGGAGAGAAATGTGTATATTTAAGTTGTATGGTGAGGGTAAAACGAAATAAAGAATGAAAGTGGAAAAGGATTTACAGACAAAAAAAAGAGAAGGAAAGAAAAAAGTGAGAGGTGGGTGGGTGGGGGGATTACAGGGACACTGTAAATGAATAAGTGGTTATCAAAGGAAAAAAAGGCCTGAAAGCAAACACAAACACACACTTGAAATACCTGTAACTCCTAGTGAGGAAAGGCAGAATAAGCCTTTTATAAGAGTCTTCTACTCCATTCCTGATGATTGCATTAAGCTCTTCTCTTGCAAATGTCTTCGGCCTCCACCTGCATTAGAATAGTGGGAAAAAGGTGATTTTTTTTGTCTAGCATTTCTACTGATAAATACAATCTATAAAAGTAGATGTGACTTCCCCTAGTCTAAGAACTGACTCTCCCTCTCAGGAGAAAATGTGCCACACACCCCAGCCCACACAAATCAAAACACCCAATTTGTGCAAGAAATTGGTTTTATTTTATTTTCATTTGGTTTTTGTTCTGAGTGTTCTGTACACTTGGATTAACAGTCAATTCCTTTAAACCAGACAACACAGCCTCATGATTAAACATAAAGTGTAATGTTATTTTTTTATATTCTAACTTTTATTTATGCAAGATAGGTTGACTGAGGACATATGTGAACAAAGTGCTGCTTCACTTTCACACATTTTTATATTCTCATATATGCTTTATAAACACAAAACATGACGTTATTGAATTTTTCTCTAATTTCAAATTCAAGAGGATACTTAGGTGTGATTAAAATTAATAGTGCAGCAGAACGAACTGATGTAAGACTTCTACACAGAAAATCTTTTTTTTTCTTAGAGCCATGCTTTGAGTTTCTGCTTTCTTTTTTATTCAACAAATTATTTCTCAAGGTAAATTGTACTCTTAAAAAACATAAAGAATGAACCTTGAAAAATTAATGGATTGTATAAAATGTGAGGAGCTTTCATATTTTTCACGTTAAAAAGCAATTTAATGTGCAGTATTTCAGCATTAATCAAATGCCAATTCACTATAAATCCTTTAATACCAAATATCTACTTTGATGAACAGCATCCACTTGGAGTTGCCAGGGACCAAGATCAATGATGTAGTGCTTTCATAAATGAAAAAAAATGATTCCATTATTGTCATATAATATGAATCGTTATCTCAGCCCTCATTTAAACCAATGCATGAAGACACATATGTGCACTGTGTGTGTGTGTGTGTGTGTGTGTGTGTGTGTGTGTGTGTGTGTGTGTGTCTGCCTGCTTGTCAGTGTGTGGTGTGTAAGGGTATTTGTGTATTACTGTTTTTCTGACCTGTTGTTGATGCACCACCTAGTGAAGTCACTCTTCACCCTGTCGGGAATGTTCACCTTCACTGTCAAAATCTTCAGACTCTCCCCTCGGTTAATAGCCAGTGTCTGTACACGCACACATGAAAGCAAGCACGCGCACACGCACACACACGCGCACGCACGCACGCACGCACGCACGCACGCACGCACACACACACACACACACACGGTTAATGCAAGACAATAAAAAAGGTATACACAGTGCACACAGGTGCGTATGAACAATGCCTCCCAAAAACTCCCAGCCTCCACAGGTCACACAATGAAAGTATAAACATAGAGAAAAGATACAGTATAAACCCAGACAGCAGATTACTCTGTCATTGTTGTTGCTTCTTTATTCTTTATATCTAGGTTTATATTTGTACTTTGATCTACAGTTGAAAAAGATTTTATCTCTTTACGGCAAAATATTACTGTTATTTTGTTCAGTTGAATTTAAACAACAAAGCCCGGTCATTTATATAAACTGCAAGCACAAAAATCTAGATGTGATGATTCTCATGTTCATTATATTTAGCCGTTTACATTTAGCAGCTAGAATAAAAAAAACAAAAATCCCCATTTGTACACATAGGTCTTAGTTTGGGTTAGACAAGGTTTTATTGTATACACAGAATATATGTATAAAAAAAACACATCCTCCCAAATCTCTACACACAAGCACAAAACAAAATCTTTTAACTCCCCACACACTTGTAAAAGTGATGAGCCTAGGAGTGTATCCTGTGGCCAGGCCTGTTGTGTTGTGTTGTGCGCTGGTCCCCCTTCAGAGGAACTGTTACATGCTGTTAAGCAAACAGTAGTAAGTGTCTGACCTTTTCAGTAGGGAACCTTTAGCCCGCCACAAAACAGGGCCAAGAAGCAAGACGTCAATCTGGAGCCCAAGCGGAAGAAGCAAGCTGACAAATGCCACCACTACGCCACCATCAGCGCTGAGACCGCAAGGCCTACCCCCACCCACGCGCACATACACACAGGGTGCCACAACCATTACCACTCAGCGGCACCCTCGGATGTACTCACACACACAAAAATAAAAAACACAGCTAATGGCATAGCGGAGGCAAGAATTAATGCAGCGAGCTTGCTTGAATTATGATGAAAGTTAAATTTCTCTTCTGTTGGCATGTTTCTGCCTCGGGCTGCCGCACTGACTGTGATGAGATTTCTCAAGCAATCTTCATCAAAGTACTGAAGTTTAACATGTTGTCCAAGGAAGGAAGAACAACACCTCTCTATGGACTCGCTAAACATCTGGAAAAGCCCACGAGTGAAATTAAAGTGGTAAATACAGAACTGCCTCACTAAACACATTTTCTCAGGGTTCGACATTCAATCATTTAAAGATCACTTTGGATAATGACGAATGACATGCAGTTGTTGCATGATTGTCATGCTTTCCAGGCTGAGTCCTACACTTTACCTAGCATGCTCTCTTCTCGTTTAACGTGTGAATGAACTATTAACTATTACTACTACTGAACTATTTAAGCACACAATATGACTTTTATCAAATAAAAAATAATGATTCATAAACAATGTTAAGTGGTTTAAAAACAATCAAGGAAAACAACACTAGTTGAAAGTCTCACAGCCAAAAATTATATATTGCTGGTCACAATAGCTTAAACAAACGCAGACAATAGAAACCACATAGAAAAATGTGACTGTCTAAACACAACACTATAATGAATGGATAACACACAATTTCGATTCTCTGTACTTCATGAAAAGTATTAATGCAGCTTCAGTGTACCAGATTTTGTAAGCCATCCCTTCATTTGTTGCCTGCATGATAAACATCCATTTTAAGGCAATACAGACAAGCACTGCTGCAAATCCATAATTTAACTACCAAAAAAAATCAAAACGAATCTTTTCTTTGCCTGGGTGCCAAACACTAACTGTGTTGAAAATTTGGTGGTCTCCAACAGTTGTATAATCTATGTCCTCGCCTGTTCGTAGCTGGCCACTGTTTTTGATGATGATAAATAACCTAGTGTCTGAACATCTCTCACTTTCTGCCTGGGTTGGGTCACTGGTGGGAGACAGAGGGTGATCTGAAAAGATGGTTGATGTGAGACAGAGGGAGAAGTGTGTGTTTGTGTGTAAGATGGCCCAGGAGTGACAGGTAGCCAAGTGCTGGCCAAACTGTGACAAGACCAGACAGACTGTCTTTCCTGGACGCCCCTTCATCCTTCCACCAGCCCCCAAGGGAGGGCAGTCGGCCAACGACCATCCTCTCTCTATCTGTCTCCTTGTCTCTCTCACCCTTTCTTTAGAGGAATACTGTCATCAACACATCTATCCATCCAACATATCAGGGATAAACAAACAGATACACAAATAGCGACACACAGATTCACAGTAGACTTGCACACTTTTTGGCATGGCTGTGTAAGAGTCGTAAATGTTAGAGAGTTTTAAAAAAAAAAAAGCTACACTGAGCATAATATGTTCTTGATAAACAATGAAATTAAAACTGGTTAAGTAAATGGAATGTGAGCTTACATTTACAATGGGTCATGGTCCAACATGATACACTAATTTTTACACAAATATACTGGAGGCTCAGACTCATTCTCTCGCTTTTACACTCTCTTATTCTATCCAAAAACAAACAACACACCACAGGGTCTGATGGATGTTAATGGAACAACTTCAGATCAGAACGAAAAAGCATTTCAATCAGCACTTACTGTACTTTTAAATTTTGGATTTACCAAACATTTTATTATTAATTTCATTATCTCAGTTGTAAATATTGAATATTACGAACAGTACAAAAAGAAGGCAGAAGGGGATTAAACATTTTCAGGTGAGACCCTACTCTTGAAATGGAAAAGGAGGTCAATGTTAACTTGATGAGAACTAATGTATGTTGTTGTAAACTGTGGCTGATTTACCATGTTTTACAATATTGACAAATTCATCATGTTTAGCACCAGTGTACCAAAAGAAGTAGCAGTAAATTATCACATCCTATGACATCTTCTAAAGCATTAACACCAATACACACACACAAACTGAGTATTTCTGTGACTGGGTGACAACGCAAACAAACTATTTTTCCTCTGTCCATCAAAAAAAGTGTTTAATTGATGAAACAGTTCCATTTACGGAAGCTCCACTGCAGGGGAGCCCCAGACTGCAGTGCTAAACTTCCATTTAATCACAACGCAAGTCGCATTAAAAGTAGCCCACTGCACATTCAACAAATCTGCCCTGGCATACCCAAGCGCATACCGGCTGCTAATAGCTATAAGGTAAATGCGTACCCTTCGAAGAAGGCCCCAAATCAAATCTGACGGAATTAAATCAGAGCTAAGTATCTCATGTGTCAAATGGCTTATGCTTTAAGACATACTGAATACCAGAGCTTGGTATATATTTTATGAATACAACTTTATTATAATTTAATTTATAACTTTGAATGAATTTATAAAACTTTACATAATTCTATAAAAAGCCATACATCAGGGGACTTATTATAAAATAATAAAAAATACTGTCAGGGCTGAAATTCCAGTCTCAGGTTCCAGCCTCTGTGAGAATTTGCAACTTTTCTTTGTCTGATTGTAAAACACTGTAAATGTCTTTGGGTTTTGGATGGTTGGTCAGAAAAAACAAGCAATTTGATAATATCACCTTGAGAATTTTAGACTAAACAATTAATCAATTAACCAAGACAAAAAAAGCAGATGAATTCAAAATGAAAATCAGCTTTAGTCACAGATCCATATTTCTATTTCCAAAGTGCATTTGAAGCAGACAATAAACACTGAATGTTCATGTTTCATCCTTCTTTAGTCTTCACTGGCTTTATAAAACATATTTGTCTTTGTATACTTAGTGGTAACGATCTACAGGTGAACTTGCATGTTCAGTGGACCAACTCCAACATCTCTTTATCACTCATTTCATACAATGCCCCGTCCTTTTCCCTTAACAAACAGCCAAGTGTGCGCTCACACACATGCCTCCTGTCAAAACACATCTCCCACCTGCTTCCCCTTCCCGCCAACTTGACGGCTAGAAAAGGTTCATTTTAGCCGGAATCCGACAGCTAGCAGGGGCACAGCAGCCTGTGGATTAACGCTCTGTGACAAAGGCGAGTCATCGAATTAAAGGCCTCACATACACAGGAGAGGAGAGGGGAAAAGGGGAGGTGTGGAGTGAATTGGTGGGCTGAGGTTTAGTCAGAAAAAGAGGGAGGGAGGGAGAGAGGGAGGGAGGCAGATCAGAGCGGAGCAAGAGAGATAAGTGACGGATGCACCTCAACATCGCTCATCTGTTCATTCTCTCCCTCCCTTTACCGCCCCCACTCCCTCTCCACATCCTTCCTTCCGCCTGTGGGCCCAGCAGCAGTAGCTGTCACTACAGGAGAGCGCCTGTCAATCAAAGCTTCCTAATCCAATGGCATGTCGGCAGGGGACATGTCACATATGTTAAGAGGAGAGAATGAGGGGACTTGCAGGGTGTGCTTGTGTGTGAGCAAGTGTGTGTGCATGCATGTATGTGTATGTGATTTTATGACTGTAGGGCAGAGTGCGGTTGCCAGAGAGTGTGGTGTGGCAGAGAGGCAGCGGGTGATGGAAGCTATGGTGACACATGAGGCCCGGGACCAACTCTGAGTAACCCACCAGTCACTAGAGGGACAGAGGGGGAGCAGAGGAGGCAGAGCAGGGCACAGGAGGGGTAAATGTGGAGGCAGACACAAGGCTAACTGCGACTGACATCGCTAGCATTCAGAAGCGGCACGCACCAAGCAGACAGAAATGGCACAAACACAAACAGATGGTGTGCATTTGTTCGTGTGTGCATGTGTGTGTTCATGTGTGTGTGTGTCCGATCATCAGGCAAGTTAAAACAGACGATACAGGACTATAAGAGTGACCAGAGATTATTAGTCAAAATAAACTATTAGGAAGTAACAAAACTTGTTATCTGTTATTGCTTTTCTTCTCCTCTATTTTCTGGTGGCTGGTGTGTAAGAAGAGTAAACCCTACAAATCAACAACCAGAAAACACCAAAAGAAGCAAATCAAATGTGTGAGTGTATGTCTTTACCTCTATATAGTAATAACTCTATAGAATCATCCATAAATTCACACCCATATTGGACATGTAATATCTTTATAGCATTATAACATACGGTATGTATGGATGGATGGATGAATGGATGGATGGATGGATGTGCAATGAGATTGATATTACTATGACTACCTGATGGGGCTGGATGCGTTGGATGTTGCTGGTGAAGTCGAAGTACAGATGGAACTTGTCAATGTCCATGTTTTTGTTTTGCTGGGCCCCGGGTTTTTTGTGGCTTTGAAAAGTGTTCTTCTGCTCTTTTTCCTTTAGCGCCGACTTAGATACAGAGGACTGAATGGTCACAAAACTGTTCTCACACCTGATCCGGCAAGAAAGAAATGGAGAGGAAATGTACTGAGCAAGAGATACTTTGATCCCAGTAAGAAAGAAACACAAAAGCACAGAGAAAGACAGACAAAAGAAAAGTACAGTGGTTCATTGTACATCACAAAATTTGAAATGTTGTGCGCATGTGGATATGTTCTCACAATGTTTTCACGTAGGTGAGTGTCTCAGGGTCTTTGGCTATCATATCAGCCAAGATGTGCTCCACACCTGTAGCCACTTCTTCCACGGTTGACAGACCTGTTACACAAACACACAAGGGTACTGTACTTCAAAACAGTACTCACATAAGCTCTATAAATCTGTGAGAGCAAAAAGGTGTTGTTAAATTTTTAACAATTTAAATGTGACTGTATGTTTGTGCAAGAATTTGTGTCTGTCTAAATCTGTACATCTAAACCATTTGAATCAAAGCTGAACAAATTTGTCCAACCAAATTAAGAAATTAAGGACCATTAGGCAGGTGCCCTAATTCAAGTGATATCCTAAACTGCTCAAAAACTAAAACATACAAAATAGCTAATATCAGTAATTTCTCCAACATGATCTATGAAGTAAAAACCTTCTCTTCATGAGTCTAACACAAGAAAGGGTCAAGCAATCAAGAAGGTTTTTATCCAAGAATAATGTTAACTTTAAGTGCTATATGTTTATGTCTTACCTTCAGCATCAGGTTTTACCCATGCCCTTAAATCCAGTGTGTGTGGTGTGTTCATCAGTGCCGAGGCAGCCACCTCAAGGCCAAGTGCTTTGGCTCTGCGAGCCTTTGTCAGCTTACTGCCTTTTTTATACGGAGAATACTGAAGACAAAGACAGAAGAACTGAACTAAGATGACTGAATGAAGGATAAGTCTCATTCAGGTGTCAATTAGTGTGTGAATAAATAATATTTGCAACCAAAAATAAGATCTCAAAATCACATTTAAATGATACGTATGACTTCTGCAAAAAAAATGTGATTCTGACCACATGATCCAGTTCATCAGCTGATCGGCAGCTCCTCAGGTTTTGCTCCAACTCAGCTGTCAAAACACCATCCTTCTTCAGGGTCTGAATCACAGACTGGGTCTTCTTAGCCAGAGTGCTGAAGCAGCACACACACATACACAAACATATACAAAAAAAAAAAACTGATTATATACCGTTCAAAACTATCACACACACAGACACACACACAAGATAAATTGATGCACATGTAGAACAATCACACATGATTACTACTGTTCCAGGCCTCAAAGCTTGACCACTAGCACCATCTAGTGGCCAATATCAAACATGCTGTCTGGAAATGACCCCAGTCCTCAGTTCATATGAGAAAACATTTCGTGGCTGCAGCTGTATATATGAAACTCTATATCTAAATGTGCTTCATCATACATACATGTATGCTTGTGATGGTATGGTATGAAAAAAGGTATTAGTTTCTATTTTTTTTGTTTTTGTTTAATTGAAGAAGTTTCATGTCTCCTACCATAACTCCTCATATACCATCTGGACATCTCGGACGGCATCAGCATCCATGTGGTTAATCATCTCTTTGCGGTAGCGCACCATGAACGGCACTGTGTTCTCCTCACGAAGCAGTAAAATGATATTTACACACACCCACCGCTCCACACATGTCAGGGTGGACAACACCTGAGGGGAAAGACACACACACATTAAAACAGTATACCTATATACACAAAGAGCAAGTAAGCAGTGAGACACTGCCCATATAACCATTAACTATTCAATTGAAATTGAAAATTGTTTTCCGATTGTTAATATCTTACAGCCAGTATCTTTGGGTGCATTTACAGTATAAAAGAGAATTTAGACATTAAAGTGTGCAGAAGAAACAGCTACTCATTTTGTCTTTGAGTCTGTGGCATTAGCACTACAATGCACTGCCTCACAATGGAGGAAGGTAAAATGAGGTGTGTGGTGAAACTTAATGTTTTCAATCTCCTTCACCTTTGGTGGTGGATCGTTTTACTGTTTTCTTAGTAGATTTGTTCAGCTATAAGTAAACACTAATGCACACTATGTCAGAACTCAACTTTTCAATGCATTTATAATTTTGTAAAAAGGGTAACGTCCCCATCAAAAGCTTACCAGCATTATAGCAGTTAATCGTCATTTTGGCAACAGTGTCATAGTGAGCTCTTAAGTTAGCTGGTTAACTTTTGTTAACAGAGGTAGAAATGTGAATGTAAAAGTCTTTTTATTTGGTGGTAACAACTCCATGAGTGCCCCACTGTGTCACCTTAAAAATATCCACACATTTCAGCATTGTGTGTCTGCCAATCATTCAATGAGGGATAAGCACTGCCTTATGCTGCACTGCCTACACCATCTGACAAAAATAAACACAAACACTTTCCTGCATATATACCTCAGTCAAGTCCCAGTTCATATTGAGCTCATTTCTCAAAGCTTGTGCTTCTGAAGATGGTAAAGAAGTTGGTTGTCCCAGACAGGCACCACTGGTCTTCTGTTTCTTTAGGCAGGGCTCATCAAACGTGAAATCCTCGTCCTCTGCTTCCTCTTTCTTTGCTCTAAGCCCAGCCAGTGATGGCCCCTCGTCTGCCCATCTGTCAGCCTCATGGGCTTCTGGGATAATAAATGAGACCCTCTACAAGAAAAAACAGGAAAAATAAAAACAGAAAGAGATAACTGATTTTTTTTTTTTTTTTAAGGATTGGAAAAACACACCATACATGCCATACACTAAAGAAAGTTTTTGCTTTCTGTATGATTTGGTCAAATAGTTTTATTCATTCAACAGATGTTTTAAGGCCAGCAATTTTGATGTGCAGAGTTCAGTAACACACAGATATTCTAGTTGTGTGTGTGTGTGTTGTCTGTATGTAAAATAATACTAACAACCTGTGGTTAAAACTCCATTTCATCTTCTTTCAGGCATACTAGTATATGTCTGTGTATGCAGATAGACTGTTAGTGAAATCGGCATTGGTCTTACCTCATCCTTCAGTCTGATACTTGGCCCACTTTCGTCAGCCCTCTCTCCCTCTGCACAGTCTGTTTGTTTTTCCACTTTGTCTTCTCTAGTCTTATCATCCTTTTTCCCATCATTTATTTTCCTCTTTGTTCCAGCCAACACAGATGGACCATAATCCTTCAGAACTGTGGGGGCCTCTGTGTTTTTCTGTGTTTTTCGCTGTATTGCAGGTTTGCGTGGTGCCCTTGGTTTAGGATCTTTAGGCACTTTGGGAGCTTTAGGTTCTTTGGGTGCTTTTGGCTCCTTTGGTTGAGCAGTTCTCTTGGCAGCTGCTTTCTTCTCCCCTGCTGCAGTTGCACTGGAAGTCTTTTGGGGGGCTTTTGCCTTTGGTTCTGGTGGCTTCCATTCCTCACAGTCCTCATCACTACTCAATGTCTGGGTAAAGGACCTAATGGTAGTGTGTGAACAAAGTGGAATATCAGATTATTTAGAGTAGGATTTAGCTCTGTCTGCAATTTTTCCCCAGGTTTGCCTGGTTTCCTCCTGCATTCTTAATACAGTAAAACAGTCTCTAATGAATTACATAGTCTCATATGTATAGTGTAACAATGTGAATATGCATTTGTGTGTCTATTAGGCCTGTGATGAACTGACAATCAGGTGAACTGCTAACATCATCCGTTACAGTGAATATAGAACCAAATCTTCCCCCTAAACATGAATATGCTGTTGTTGTAGAAAAGGGACTGCAAAAAAAGACTGCTATGACTGAATGAATGAAAATCACTTACAGGTCGGAGTCCGTATCTCTGTACTTTGCAACTTTGCTAGTTGCCGCTCGGGGTCTTCGCATCATCTGTTACAAAATGTGTTTAGTTATGTTACATTAAAGCTGTACTGTTAAAAACACATAAATTAGCTTACTGTCCACTGTGGTAGAATGTAACTAAGTACATTTACTCAAATACTGTACTTATGTGCAATTTTTATGTGCCTTTACTTTACTTGAGTGTCTCTATTTTATTTTACTTTATACTTCTATTCCATTACAACTCAGGAAAAAATATTGCCCTTTTCATTCAACTACATTTATTTGGCAGCTTTAGTTATTTGCTACTTTGCAGAATCAGATTATAGTGGCAAAATATAATAAACGAGTAATTAGGATGTACTAAAATATATATATATTTTAGTACATATATATATATATTTTAGTACTTTAAGTATGTTTTGATGCTAATACTTTTGAACTTTTATTTAAGTAAAATCTTTAATGCAGGGCTTCTACCTGTAACCGAGTATTTCTACAATGTGGCACAACTACTTTTACTTAAATAACAGCTCTGACTACTTCTTCCCTCAATGATAATGTTAAAACAAATAACATTAAATTCTGATTTGCGGTTTAAAGATAGCGTTAACTGGTCAAAGTGTAAAGTTACCCGCAGTTAAGGTAGCGTTAGCTATATGTCGTTATCCAACAAATTAGGATTACACAGAGAGCACAAACATTTTATCTGTGCTAACATTAGCAGCAACATTGAATTTACTGAAGCAGCCATGAAATTGCAAATGTTTGCTAGTTATCAATAGGTTAGCTGCTATTTCAAATTTGCCGCTTCACGCTGACGCTAGCAAAGTTAGCTGGCTAAATGGCCCCACAACGAGGCATTATCATTTATGTCACTGTTTTCTCACAAGATATTAAGCATAGTTAACTAAGTAGTTGTACCTTTACACCGTTGGAAAAGCTCAAATTGTTTGAGGGTACTCCGCTGGAAATTGTAGCTAATGAATCTCCGCTTCCTGCAACAATATGGGTTCAACCAATGACGACATCCAAAAGTCTTAAAGGGCAAGAAACACCTTTTCTTCTTCTGCTATGTGTTTCTTGGCGGATCGAAAATCAGCTTTCGAGGTGCATACCGCCACCTACTGTCTCAGAGTGTGTAGTATCATGGCATACATAATTGAATTCCGAAGAAAAAACAAATTTAAAATAAAAAGATACATAAATAAATTTACTATAATGATAACAATAATAAAAAAAATAGTGCTACTTACACCCTATTTCCTTATGCTGCCTGTATTATATCCTCTCTGTGCTTAAAATGATTTTAAACTCCCTTCCTGCCCTGCCTCAAGAAGCCTACTATGTTTCATAATCTCTCCCCCCAAGATCTATGAAAATTCTCTATCTCATTTTGGCTTCAAACTGAAAATTCAAAAAGCTTTGAGACTATTCAAATAGTTATTTTAAAAGCAGTGCATCTTAATCTGTTCCATCTGTAAATGATCTGAGTCACACAATAGAGCAGGGAAATTTTGTTATAACATCAACTAAATCCTATTCAGACTTTTTTTGACTTATTATAACTGTTAAACTGTCTCACTGAAGTCCCCATTGCCCCCCACTGCACTCTCACTTCCTTCCTTTCAGCCAATGCGTCTCAAATGTCAGACTTTCAGACATTAATCGGTTCTCTCATTTGTTGTAATTTCCCTTGTTCCTCAAAGGTGACAAATTAAAACCAAACTATTTATGTTAGTTCAATGATTTTATTACATTTGATTTCCATATTGTAAGAAGCAGAGTAGTATCCATCTGTAAGATGCCCTGAACCAGACCAAACAAATCTGCAAATACAAGTACACAGAATTTACATACATGTACATATACAATTTTAGAATATATACACAGAGGAGTAAGATGACGTGGTCATAGGAGATGTCTAAGCAGAATGTGTTGATATTTATTTGAAATGTGTATAGAGATGATTAATAAAGTCTATGTTATCTCTGTATCATTATAACACACCTGTCTAATTGGCCAGAAAGAGTTCAACAGCCTGTGATTTAAGGACTTATCAATCATGAACTGCAAGATTATGAAATTAATTGTATATCAAAAAGGGATTTCACTACCTGAGTAATAAACTCCCTAAACCCAGGAATAATGATAGTACTTGAAGACACTACTAATACTATACTAGCTAAATACTACTGAACACTAATAATGTGAATATTAAAACACCAATAGTGATAACAAACTGCTATATAAAATGTATAACCAGTGGTACAAGTGAGTCAGTATTTCAAAATTCAGCATTTTCACAAATTCAATCTGTGTCCTAATCATTCTCAGAATCATGTTACTATTGGTTAACAAATATTTACATAAATTTTAAACAATATTAAGATATGTATAGGGATAAAAAAAAAGGTCTATGGTCTTAACCAAGTGTTTGATGATTGCTGAATATCTTTATACCCTGCCCCTGGTTACATATGACGCATCAACATGAGTAACCAATCAGAAATTCAGTCTGGAACAGCCAACACAGACTTTGGTTCTAAGTGTGGGGATTTCCACACCCATTGCTTTCAGTTCCCTGTGTCTCCACTCAGCCATAAAGGTAAAATGCCATGTACTTCTGTCATTGATTTTTGTGAAACAGCTTGCAGCCTTACCTGAAAGAAGGTATTACTTCTGTGTGTGTGTGTGTGTGGGTGTGTATGTATATATTAGTATATATGTGTGTGTGTGTTTGTGTGTGTGTGTGTGTGTGTGTGTGTGTGTGTGTGTGTGTAGTTTCAGTCAGTGTTAAAATTTACTCTGTTTAAACACATTTTGTGATTATGTATGTGTGTGTTTATAGGTTTCTGTGAACATGTCGGACCCCGAGAACCCAACTCAGCCTCTCTTAAGAGCTCCCAACCAGCCAACAGCAGTCAATGCAGGAGAAACAACAGAGAAGTAAGAATTGTGTCTGCCTATTTATGTGTCTTGATGGGATACAAACACCAGGGATCTGTCAGGGTGTGAGAACCAAAAACCTGATTCCCACATAGTTTACAAAACCAACCTTAGACCAAAACATTTACTGTAAATGAGCCTTAGAAACTTCTCTAATGTTCGTAGTGGCTATTGTTAAAAGTTGTTCACTAAGATGAAGTGTGTGTGTGTGTGTGTGTGTGTGTGTGTGTGTGTGTGTGTGTGTGTGTGTGTGTGTGTGTGTGTGTGTGTGTGTGTGATAGAGAAAAAATGAGCTTCCTGTGTTTTTTTTCTCAGCTGTAGTTGTCATTTTACAGTAAACATCCATATTTTCATTAATTTAAACAAATGACATTAAACTATGTATAGGCCTACTTTAATTTACAGGTAACCACTTTGTAAATCACAATGCCATGTTTGAGATTTTTTGAACGTATATTTTCCAACTTCAATGCAGCAATTGGTTTCCATTTACCTCAATGAAAATCGACAGACTCTTTAACAGAGATTGATCTGTTCAATAGTGCAGATTTGTCTCATCTATCTGAACTTACAACAACATTATTGAACAACAATAATGGAACTGTGGCAAAAGTAACAGATTACCAGTATATGAAAAACAATGGAAGCCAATGGCTGTGATTTAAGAATTCAGTCAAATTGTAGATTAGGAAATACATTTTGTAAATACTCTTTAAAAGGGTTGTAATTAGACAAATGGTTTAGGGATATCGTTGAGATTAAAAAGCAAGAGAGGACACATCATTTCAATCAATGGTATTTTCCAAAGGAGTTAAAAAGGGGAAGTTAAAAAGAGAAAAGAAGTAGAAAATTCCTAAACTTCCACTCAGGTGTCTACTTGGCAACAATTGATTTCATCACTCAGCTTGCAGTGACGTACACAGTAACCGACACCCAGGTTCCTGTTTCATAGAATCTCTCTAAGTCTGCAAAGAATCAGCCTCTGTAATGTTCCTCCAATTAACATTCTCCTTTGCTCCCTCATCCTCCGATCTACCTCCTCTTTGCTGTCTCTCTTTATCTCTTTCTTCGGCCTAAGGATTTGGTCCCCATGACCTCAAATATCAAATACAAGTGTTTTCTTTCCCTTTTTTTTTTTTTTTTTTAAAATCTAACAATCATTTGTAAATGTGTAACATTCCTCCACTCTTCCCACCTTCTTTCACGTCTTGATTTCCAGTCGCCGCCCCAGCCGGGCCTATAAGATGGCAGCTTTAACCCTGTTGGCCTGTGTCCTGATTGTGGGCCAGGCGATGATCGCCTACTTCCTCCTCAGCCAGAGGAACGACATCAAATCCCTGGAGGAGCAGAACAACAACATGAAGACAGAGCTGACGAAGGGAAGATCTGGTGAGGAAGCCAAATTAATTTTGGATTAAGAAGGATATACTGTGTGCTATTGGCATTTAGTAGAATGTCTCACGAAGTAACAGTAGGATGAGCTTTATTTGTCAACCACCTGGTGAGCAGCTAAATAATAAAATTAAATGATAAAAGAAGAGAAAAAACAAATCAAATAATCATATATGTTCCTATTTGTGTTTCTAAAGCTAAACGCTAACTGAAGTGAACTAAGGTTGAAAGAATAAAATTGATTGATTGATTGAAAAGTATGATCTCACTTTATAATATTCATATATAATATTGTCACAAAATACTTACTTCCTTTGGTTCTCAACCTCTCACACACACTCTTACTCTTTCTGTCTGTAGTGTCTGTGCCAGTGCGGATGCACATGCCCATGAACGCCTTGACCATGCTGGCTGATGACTATGTGGAAGAGGTAAAATAGCCCAATACTGGATTTTTGAGGCTGATACTAATATAAAAATTTGAGTTTCCCATAATGATCTTTTTCTCTGTTTTATTTCACTTGCAGGAGGCTTCCACTGATAAAATGGGTATGTCTATATACTGTCTTTACTGTATTCATCTACACATACATATATAGTGAATTAATTAATTATCTTTATCAATTAATCATCTTTATCTACCTACACATTAGATGACAGTTGACTATAGTTTGTGATTACAATCACACACCTTCCTCTTTCCCCCTCATATGTTTCTAAGTTCAGAAGTCTTATGTTTTCCGTGAGACAGAGGTGATTTAATTCCTCTCCTCTCCCAGTCCCTCTGCAGGGCACCAACTGCCAGCTGGAGGCTGCTGGTGTGAAGGCCACGCATCTGCCAGGTTTCCGCCCTGCCTGTGATGAGCGTGGCCTCTACAAGGCCCAGCAGTGCTTTATGAGAACGTGCTGGTGTGTGAATCCAGTCAATGGGGAACAAATCCCTGGATCCGTGAGCAATGGACCGGCCAGATGCAGCATGGCTGTGCACACCGGTGAGACAAGATAACTGATCACAAAGTCAGTCTGAAAATAGAAGAAGAAATTATTTCAAAATGATGTGCAGATGTGAACCGGTGTATTGTATTAATGTTTTTACTCAATGTGTATAGTAGTTTAAATCAAAAACCCATACTTCAGTCAGATTTTCCTGTATTTTGCCATCAATAAATGATAATTGGAGCTTGATTTAATGGAAAATAATGGATTTCACTATGGCACAAACAGAGAAACCTCTTCTACTAGTTCCACATACACTTACAGTTTTGCTTTCCATACTGCGCAGTATAAAATCAATGTTGTTGTGTGTGGAGTAATCTACATTACCTCATATGAGGTTTTGAGTCCTGCTTGTTTGTTTATAGTTAATGGGATATGTCTTCAGAGACATCCAATATTAATATCCAATATTTCAGTTTTTCTCCATTTCTTTGATGCAATTCACACATCAGAAACGTCTTTGTCACCACTCTTAATGCATTTCTCAAAACTCAGGTGTGACTGGCCTTGTTCTTTCATACATATTTGAAGAATTTTTAAAGTGATTTGATTTAAAACACTGATGCAATGCAGGACGGGTCACGGTGAGTGAGAGGTCTGTGATTCTAACAGACGAGTGTAAAAACTGTTTTTTATGAGTTATCAGAGTCAGATGACAAATGCATCAACACAACAACAAAACATGTTTAGTAGTGAAATATGGGTGGATACAATGGCAGTTTGGACAAACACAATCAGAAATGCTAATGTGTGTGGGGAAATGCGGAACCTGTATTGAGAGCTGTAATAATTTGAGAATGACGTTTCTGAAGTGTTTCAGAAAAACTGTAAAAGAACAATAATTTTGGAGCCCTGACTTAAGCTGCACCGTTGTTCTGTCTTTGTAGGCGGCCTGAGCAACATGCTGACTATAACCGATGTTGATGTCTAATACTGTGGTGAGTATGTGCATGATGCTCATCTGATTCACTATGTATGTATTCATATATAAACATTTGTGAGCGGTACTGTATGTAGGGTGTGATGATGCTTCTCTCTGCTATAGTTTCAATTCAGTTTATTTCAGTCCAGTACTTTTGAGTACTTTTGGAAAGGGGCTTTTATTAAAGGGAAAAAACTTTCTATTGTTGTTTTGAATGAACTGTATATTTCATCATGTTTTCTGCTTCTGTTTCTTGGGAAACTGAAGCTGATGAAATCTCCTCCAGACACCAGCAACAGGTCAACTCCAAATCCTGAAGATGCAACTTTGCCAACTTATAATCAGTAATCGCTTTTCTATAATCTTATTATCTGCAATTAATATTTTACAGGCAGATGTAACCTTTGCTATTGATTACTTAACATCTTTCAGTTTTTTTTTAAATGGCTAGTAAAAGTTAAGGGTTATAGAATAGAGTGTTCTTGCTTTGCAGACTTAAAAAAAAAAGTTTTATTCAAATTGTGTCTAATATCAGTTTGATAAGAAGTAATGTGATGTTGGGAAGTTAGTAAACAGCAGTGACTTAAAATAATAAAAGTATGAATTGAGTGGCAATTCAGTTGAGTGTGGGCATGGAGTAATTATTAATATATTTTTGTTAAGAGTAGATTTTTGGCAATATGTAAATGAAATCAAGATCTGTCCAGTGCCCGTTTACATTATACTTTTGAATTATTCAGATTATGAACATGGTGACTTGGTCTATGAACATTTGGCTTAAAGTTAAAGGGGTGAAACTATGATTAAAATTATTGTCACACATTTGGGCAAAATTGGGAACAAATGAAACAAGTACAAACTGTATTTTCCCCATTTATTTGAACATCCCAAATAAACCTGTTAAAAGACAGTTGCAGTTGTTTTCTTTTACAAAGTCACACTGCGTTGATGTGCAGGAGTGAAAACCCATGACGACGAGACAGATTAACCAGCGAAATAAAGCACCATCAACTCACCTGTCATGTTCTATACTCCACAGCATATAAGTGTTTAAAGAAAGGTATTACTTAAAGAACAAGAGAAACATGCAAACACATAATAGACAGGAAATTAAAAAACTAATAGCATGCAATATAAGGACAGCAATACAATGGTTGTCAATAGGCACAAGTTGTTTCTGGTTTCCAGTTACCAAACATACAGAACACATATAATACACGTTCCAGTAAGCACAACCGCAACTGAACTTAAATGTTTTCCTTTATGGCTTTTTTTAACACAATTTCAATGGCAGCAATACAGTATGTGTGGACACTAATGTTTCCGTCGTGTGAAAACCATGGTGCAGTACACTTCTCTTTATATTACACTTAGTACATTTCCTTTCCTTAGATGAGAAGGTTTTTATAATGTGTACAGCACAGATGAGTACATCCTCCTGAAAGTAACAGTAAAATGTCAAAAATGTTTTCTGGTGTGAGTTAAGGGCAACTGTAACAGCTGAACCATCACACTCTAACGGGTGACTGGTTGACAATTAAAATCACTTCACCCACTGAATCACTCAGACTTGATGCTGACAACAAGGGCAGCACATGGGAGAGAATTGTCCAGAGACCTGAGAGAGAAAATTGTTTCATCGCACCGAAGAGGACAAGGGTCCAATCCTTGATCTATAAGATAAGATAAAGTTGGCAAAACTACATATTTTACTCTCATTAATGACACATTGTTCTATGTTGGCATTAGGAATATGTTTAATAAATTTCAGTTTTGTTTTTTTTTTTTTTATCTTTCCATGAATTGTAATGTTGATCATTCAGAAAAAAGTTTAAAGTCTGTTGCATGTCTGCTGTGTTATTAAATGTGTTATTTTTTAGGTGGTTTTCTGTGCATTAGCTTTTCAGAGGAGTGTCCTGCAGCAACAGTATTGTTTATGAACATAATTTATTATTATTTATTTATCAATCTTACTGTTAAAATACCAATTCCTCAGAAAAAAAAAAAATCTTGCAGTACATACTACTCACATGATACAGATTCCACATTTTAAATAAGTAAAAACACCACTACATCATTGATATTGATATTTTTGGGACAAAAAAAAAAAAAAAGTTGATTTCTGAAACACAAACAGTTTTAATCCCTAAAGTTCATAGAAGTGCAAAAGATCAACTACTTTCCAGCATATGAAATAGGCAGCCAAATCCCGTCAGGAGAAGGCTATTGCACACATGGCATGAGATGATAATATCAAGTTCAGACCAGAGTAGGCACTCTTAATATATATTTTATATAAAATACTTTAACAGACTCTTCCCTGTTTGTTAAAACCACCAAGTGCAATTAAAAACTACACTTTTGCACAAAAATCTCACTTTGGCGTACATTTTCACCCAACTGCTTACTAACTGTGTTCCCCAGCTTTTGCAGAGTGAAGTGTATTTTTTAAGCAGTGTGAGGTGGAATAAAGAAAAATATTACATTTCTGGGAATACTTTTCCTTGTGTATGAAAGGAGTGCGTCATTTTAGGAGTCATTCTTCAAATTGTAAAAATGAAAGAAATGTCTACCTTAAGTGAGTTTTTGTGAATCTCTACAGACACATGACACCACAGACACCACAGACTTTGCTCTGACACCTGCAAACAATTTGAAAACTAACAACAACCATGAATGGTTCTGGCAGGTTTTACAGAGGAGCACCTTGTGATGTGCAGAGATAACTTTTAACATGCTCCATCATCCCCTGAGCATAGAAGTGCAAATTAGTTAAGGCTGCTATCATTGATTTCTGACCACTAGGCAGAAGAAGACACCACAGTAGATGACAAAATAAGTTTCTAAAACCCTTGTCTACTGTGCTTCTAAAGTAGTTGCTTTGGAAGAAACTAAACACTATTTACATGTTTAAGTAGCAAAAGAGAAGTGTTGTGCTTCTCTCAAGTGAAGCTCCTTTAGTAAGGAGGCAAAAGAGCCAACATAGCTGGTCTGCACATATGTAGACATTGGTTGGTCTCTTTATGTAGCAAATAATCTTCAGAAAGCACATATTGTAATATTGTAGGCGGGACAGGTTTGGAATCAGAAATCAGTTATAGCAGCTATAATTTTATTAACAGTAACAGTTTGTCTAAATTTAAGTAATCATATGGGGAAGAGAATAGGAGATCTTGAGTGTTTAAATTAACCAAATTGTAATCCTTTCCACATGCATGTCAATATGCTCCGTCTATTATAAAATGTAATTCAGTTAATCATTCTCCTTACTCATGTTGCAAGGGATCAGATGAATTTAAAAAAGATATTAAAAAAATCTGTTTCACCTTACTCTAGAAGTTGGTTTGCAGCTTTTGAGTTTTCCTATTTACTCATCCATGTAGAAGATAAATTTAATTAATAACTCTTGAAATACATATCTGTTCCCATATGTACCTCTACTTTGTACATTTCATCTTCCCCCATCTGTTGTCTTCTTACTTTTCCTCCTCTCTTCTCATTTACGTCCTCCTTTCAGGTTGTTTATGTAGTCTTTGATGGTGTTTTCAATGTTGGGAACGGCATAATTTTGTGCTGCATAGATTCCTGTACACGTTCCTACGGCAACACCCAGCAGTGCTGAAGAGCGTAGCCTAGCAACAATGTACCCGGCCAGAAAACCCTTCAGGAAGGGAGAGCCAAGCAGACTGCCTCCCTGGAGAAGGAAGGTGAGAAGAGATCAGATCAGGTACTTGGTAGTCTGACTAATGGTTTTATATTTACATCTGCATACCTGCAAACGGTTCTCATGCTTTTACAGATGCCTGGCATGTGAACACAATTCAAGGCAGAGTGACATGAGCATGTTAGTGCCTGTGTGAGACTTACTGGGGGAACCCCTGCCTGTATCTCATCCTCCACCCGTCTCTGAATGTCCTCCAGCTGGTCCTTCAGCTCCACCAGGTCCTTCAGCTGGCCCAGAGGATTCTGCACACACACATGCACACGCACACAAACAAACAAACAAACAAACAAACAAACAACAGGTTAGTGGAGCTGATCAGAGTTTCCTAAAATCTGGGGAGGTTTATTAGGCCACGATCTGCAAACACATAACAAAAGTTTACTACTATGTGGCAACAACGACAACTGGCAGCACACTACAGGCTAACGTTAACAATACATTTTCAATACCTCACGCCAGTAACTTTCAATCTCAGATACAACATTTAAATTGATTACTGTGGGCCAAGTGTTCCTTGTTTACAAACTGTTTGTCTCAGCATCGACACACTTTTCAAACTTCATACTAAATTAACTAACTCGTACCATTAAATCGGCTAATTGAGCTTTGGGTTAGCAGTTAGCCACAGACTTATTCTAACATTAATCTTAACAGCTTGTCAGTGTCTCGTTAAGAATAACACCCGCAATAAATACTGCGTTCACGTAGGTAAACTAATTAGGGAACCACCTGACACTTATAGGTTACTAAATAAGCTAACACTTAAGCTAGCATAGCTGAGGGATAGCCTGTCTGTCTGCATAGTGTTTAATTCACAAGCTAACGTTAATTCGTGCCTGTTTACGGTACTGTAAACTACGCGGTATAATAATATAGTAACGCCAATCAAAAGTGTAAATTATCTTATCGTTAGAAAGTTAAGGACCGACCTTGTCATTTGCCATAGTTCCACTGGAGAGTTGATACCACCACCTTCTTCTTCTTTGGTACCTATCTCCTACTTCTTCTCCTTCTCCTACTTCTACTTCTACTTCTACTTCTTCTTCTTCTTCTTCTTCTTTTGACTTTGTTGAAAAGTAATCTTTCTGCCCTCTACTGGTTACTCAAGACTCTGCCTAGGGTTTTAGATTTTCTTCATAATTAGTAGTAACTTTCGTTTAAAAATTGCATAATTCCCCTGACTATTTTGCTCACTGTACAAAATTATAGACTGTGTGTACAGATACAGTCTTGGGGTTATTATAAATGGAGCCTTCCAAATATTTCACACAGTTATTTAACCAGCAGACAGTTCACATACTCACAATGTCTTTCTTACCCTTAACATCCCTTCTCATGTTGAAGCACCTTTAGTTCCAAATTCCAGTTTATTAGTGTAGTGTAAACATCGCAACAATTTACATCAGAAAATCTGATGCTGTCCAGTATTTATATATTATAATATTATTTTCAGAACAGATTCTGCATCACTGGTGACATTGCCACCAGCCCCCACATGTTTTGAAGCTGCCAGTATTTTCAACATATTGCAAAATGCCTCATATAAAGTAGTTTATTTAGCTATATGTTGCAATACGTTGCCTATGCTTCAGAGGTATTTCATTTAAAACATTAAATCTATAGACTAGTAGCCTATATACAAATCTCTGTATTCTCACTCTTAGCTGACTGAGAGGAATCTATCTAATTAACTTGGACTTACTCTGTGCAAACTGAACTGTCTGGAAGTCTGCATGAGGACAGATGATGAGACGCTGAGAAAGGAAAGAGGAGTGAGAGACAATTGGGGTAAATAATTAGAGAGACAGAAGGATAGTGTGTCGTGCAAGCAATGAGAGTCATAAATCAGAGGTGTTTAATTTGCCATGTTTTGTCACCATCACAGCATCAACTCAGCCTGAAGGAGGAGGAAAGATTGTAAAGATTAGTAAAAGAGTAGCAAAACAAGCCTTTCACCCAGAATTATAAAACAAATTTAGTAATTACATGGACTGAGTTGCATGTAAAACATTGTGTGCACTAAAGTTTAAATTAATGGGTCACTTTTCCTAAGCAAATACTGGCAGCCGAGATGATTGGTCACAAGTGTGACTCACTGTTGAAGTGAGAGTGAATAGTGGAGCTTGGAGTCACAGAGGGTGAGAGAGAGATTGGGAAAGATGGAGAGAGGAAGTATTAGAGACTTAGCAGAGAACAAGCGAGAGATTGCTATCTCATAGAGACACAGAAAGACTGTGCAGTGCAATATGTAAAGGTCTCTGCCTTGGATTAATTATAAAAGATTAATCTTGCCATAACAAATGATTACTTTTCAGACAGAATGTGATGGTTTCTTCTAGGACTTTGTTACTCTAGTGGGCATTAAAATTATTTAATCCTCATACTTGGCAAGACAGAGAGTCCATTAACCTTTCCTTATTCAGGGTTATCACAGGCCCGACCTGATATGGACCACAGTATTTAAGGGACTTTTCACGCTGGAACTGAACAGTTTTCATACTTCTTTTCCATGAGACTGAACACTGGTCTGCAGGCGTTTAAGAGCTGGAAGGAGTGATGGAGGTAAGGTGTCTCTGATCTTCAGTGCTGTTGATGGTTTAGAGGGGGCGTTATTGATTTTGGCTGAGGCATATTTGGCTGACTAATCTTTGGACACCACTGTAAAGGAAAGGTCATTGAAGCTTATGGTACAATCATTATAGTGATGTGCTTTGGGGTTGTGTATTCATAAACTTCAGGGACAGCCAATGGATTTACTGTATGTTTGGACTCTCATCTTGAATCGGGAGGAAGGATAATCTGTCATAATGTTCAAAGACTTGAAATAAGCAGTTGAGTAATTATAAAACTGTTTATATTCTTTTAAAGCTTTGTGACTAAAGCTTCATCTATTATTCAACGAGCCCAGCTGAGTTTTTACTCTTATATAATGTCAGAGGTTTGTATTAATATGCCAAACCATAATTGTGAGGTTTGTTTGTGCACAAACAGATATTATAATTCATATGAAGGGAAAATAAATCCCTGTGCAGCTTGAGGACATAAAAGCATGCAGTCTTTTTTAGCAGTGGGCTTTGAGGAGTACTTCAAAATGTACTTTATAGTCAATGCAATGGGTACATTTCACTGTCTTTCAGGAAAGTCACAGTCACAACTTTGTATTTACTTGAAGTGGGAGTAGCAAGGGTTTTAGTAACCTTGACTACAACATGAATCTCGGCGATAAGCACTTAAATTCTGTCATTTCAACTTCAGCAGCTTCATATAATGTAGTTAGATAGGCTACTGACAAATTCTCAAATACTATTGAAGGTATGTCAATTGATATGTGCCTCATATCGGATGTCACACACTTTTTTAAGAGCTGTGAGACATACATGTATTGAGGTTGTTTACCAAAATAACAGTGATAAAATACTCCATACAGACCATCTGAACTGTTAGCTTCCTTCACTTTGTGTCTTGTTGTCATCAGTGTACCTCTGGTGATAGGAATTTGTTTTCTAAATATACAGTTATCTGGGCTTGATATTACAAGCATCCTCTGACAAAACACGTACTCAGATTAAAACTGGCACTAAGATCTCTTGTTGAGGAAGGGAAGCATTAAAAAAACAATGTTGGTGGGAAAATATTATTTATTGGTTTTAGCACTTTGTGTATAAACAAATGGCTCCCTGCTGTCCCTTATGTCAAAAGTACTGAATTATAGTTTCATAACCTGTGCCCTGAGTCAAAGATTGCTCTTGGCTCTGTGTTGCGTTCTGCTTTGCTGCGTTTGGCTGCACAGCATCATGTTGGATGTTGTGTTGTCATAGATTTATTATCCCTGTGTATGAAATGTGCTTTGTATTGTGCCACACTGCACTATGCTATGTTGACCCGAAGTGCAATGGTGTACAGAGTACATGTGTCATATTTTGCAATCTGGTTGGATCTGTAAATTGGAATCAATGAAAGCTTAAGTCAGACACTTCTGACTTCTGGCCGGAATTGTGATGCTTTTCTCCTGGACTGGCTTAAACTTGGAAGCCTTTTAGCACGGCTCGATGTTTTTCTGGGTTGAGTTGGCCCATGTTCAGCCAAGTTCCCTCATTAACCTCAGTGTTCAGTATTCAGCTGGCGTTTCCACTGATGGCTACTGATACAGTACACTCTGCTAGCAGAGAGAAATGTGATTGGAATACAACAGGACTGAATTAGAGGGAACGGGACTTTGGAGATGGACCTAGATTTTTTGCGATGTAAGCTTAATCAAGAACGCGCATGACTCAGCGCTGTTGAGATGGAATACAGTCCCACCAAAGAAAAATCATCTGCCACTTGAAAAAATGAGAACGAGCACTACATTAATTGAAGAATGGATTCTTTGTCTCATTGAACAGACAAATAAGTAAAGCAATATTTACTTCCCATGTATGGTCAGACAGATTTTTCCAGACCTCAGCGACAAGAGAAGAGAAGGTCAAATCTTATTGACTGTGTTGAAAGTGGTCTGATATGCACAATTATTCACAGACTGGGTGTAAACTGTAGCTCAGGATCATTTGTATGGGAGGTTCAAGGTGCACCCTCTAAGATGAGTTATACTGTAGTCCTTAGTATCACAATCATTTTACTAATAAATGATAATCTGAATTTAACAGTATTTCTATATTTTACTGAACAGTCTATTCACTGTTTAGTGACTTTGCATGATGCTCCAGTATATTCTCTTTCCAAATACATAAACTGCTAAACCTTGTAATACAATCATTCCTGATGATCACACTGATGATCAAAGTATTGAAAACTAAACAGCATTATTGAATGTATTTACTTTTTCCATGATTGATGAGTTGTCAATACCGATATGACATTACATGACATTTTTTTCTCTTATATTTTTGATATAATTTGCACTCCAGTTATATTTTTTTGTGTAATCGTATAATCTTTGAGGGTCAGTATTTCAGCAGCAGTGGCTGGGAGTGAAGGCATGCAATTAAAATGGATTGTTTCCATTTCAAAGAGTCAAGGTGCACTCGCTGTTTGCCACTAATGATTTCAACATTCAGATAATGTGTGTGTGCGCGTGTGTGCGTGTGTGTGTGTGTGTGTGTGTGTGTGCGTGTGTGCGTGTGTGTGTGTGTGTGTGTGTGTGTGCGTGTGTGCGTGTGTGTGTGTGTGTGTGTGTGTGTGCGTGTGTGCGTGTGTGTGTGTGTGTGTGTGTGTGTGTGTATGTGTGTGTGTGTGGGGTGTGTGCGCGTGTGTGTGCGTGTGTGTATAGCACATATGGGTTTGCCCAAATGCCAGCTATAAGCCAATTAAAGTTTTTAAGCTCTGTTGCTTCTCTGGCACACTGAGGCAAGCCAAGGTAAGGGAAGAGAGCTACTGCAGCCTCACTGCACCACTCTGCTGTGATGTGCCAAGGTGTGTGTGTGTGTGTGTGTGTGTCTCTGTGTGTGTGTGTCTCTCTGTGTGTAGTCAGAGGTGCATATGTGTAGCTAGATATAGCACTGTCCACAGCGTCAAAGGAGAGAGCAACACTGCTAAACGAGGAAGGGAAAAAACTTCATCAAAATTGGGATGGGAGTGGTGGAAATGAACGGAGAACAATAGAGACAACATGACTTTAAATGTAGGCAGCAACCAAGTTTGTAAGAGGGAGAGCTGTCAACATGTAGAGGCAAGAACATTGTGATATAGTGATAGGGAAGTCTGGAATAAATGTGAGAGTCCCAAAAGAGGAGTTGGGGGGTTGCAAAGAGGAATGTTAATGAGAAAAACAGTGACAATGAGAAGGGAAGCGTTATGGAGAGATGCAGAAATGAGTGTGTGAATTTATTCTCTCATCAGGATGCACTGGTGTTTCGCAGGAGGGTCTTTCCTTCCTCTGTGACGCTGCATCAGCATCACCACAACTCTCTCTATCTGTCCCCGCTCTCTTTCTACCTCTTTCTTCGAGTTTCTCCACCCCTCCCTTCTCCTCTCTCCTCCTCACACATACGCTCTCGCACTGGGGAT